CATTAATATGTCATGGTATATAAGGAAAATGCATATGATTTCAAATTCATGCTTCATTACAGGTCAAGCATTTGATTATAATCTGGACTATATTTCATAAAATATAAAAATAAAATTCCTAAAAGATTCTTGGCTTGAACATATGAGAAAAAAAACCTTTAGTTTAGTTGGTATAGATCCTGTGTTTTATGTTGAGGTTCTTTAAACTGTAGCTTGTTGCTGCAGCCCCACTTGTGGCAAAATTGACTCTTTTTAAGTAATATAACCAAAGAATCAAAACAGTATTTTCTCCATAAGTCAGTTTATTGTTATCAGATTAGCTAAAACAGTGTTGGCTCTCTATGTGTAAAAGGTTGTTGAGCTGCTAGTGAGCAATAACGGTTAAAAAAGGGATGGTTGAGAACCCCCTGCTGCCAAAACAATTCACACCTCACCACAAAGACAGCCAAGATAAAACCAACAGCACAACTGCAGCTTTCTTCCTATCAAAAAATCACATTCAGAAGCCACAACAAAAAGCACAAGAAAATATATTTATGTATGATGACTTGCTTGCTTACCTACAAAGACAGATCCTCTTCGACTGTGTGAATTATACAGACTTCCATCAAAATATATTCCAGCAATGTTATTGAAGAAGAGAATAAATCATAGAACAAAAACTGAAGGATTTCCAAAAAAGGCAGAAATTGCACTTTGTGCTCCTGTGAACAGGGTCTAAAAGGGTTCGTCATACTCATCCATCTCAATTACAGAAAGGTTCTTTAGCCCCCTTTTCACAGTAGCCATAAAATGCTATTTCCACCTGTTTTTCGAGGAGGCCCCTCAGTTGAAATATGCATCTTCCTTCAATACACTATGGACTTACAAAACAGGAAGCAAACTGGATCTTTGTATGTGAGCATGCAAGTCCATGAAAAAAATACATATTCCCCTTCAATGAAAAACCATGTGTTTACCATTCCACTCTTTTTTGGATTATCTATTATTTTGTTTTCCATTTAATTTTGTACAATATTTTACACACACACACACACACACACACACATATATATATATATATATATATATATATATATATATATATATATATATAAAATATACACATTTGTAAATGCTGTTTTTTTATTTTGGCAGTCATAATTTTTGTTAGGAAGAAAGCTGAAGTTATACTGTGTTTTATCTGTCAGAGGAACTGTCTTTGTGGAGAGGTTTGACTTCTTTTCACAGCAGGGGGTTCTCACCCCTCTCCTATCAGCCCTCATTCCTCACTAGCAGCTCAACGCAGTCACTACATTTCACAGAACGAAAGCCGAGAGCGTGCCAGTTAATCTGGTACAGGATTAACATTCATTTAAAATATATAAATCAGTTCTGTTCTGCTGGTGGAATGGAATGTGTTAATCCCATCACAATGTAGCCACACTTATCTTCATCAGCCATCATCAGCATGCAGTCTTTAGTTACAAGAGAAGAAATGGACAATGTTTTGGTTGTAAACAATGAGTGTGTCTCTCTGAACTAGGATGACCACCTCATGTGTTACGTGGCTGAAGAAAAGATTGTATAATCATTTATCTCGACTAATGCACGGCTCATTAAAGTTTAACCAACAAGCGTAATTTGCCTTACATCTTTATATTAAACACAGAATGAAATAAAACCAGAGGCTAAAGTGACGAGAACAAATACTGAAATTAACCAATACGTCCACCAATTATTTCATATTTTTATCATTTATGTGATTGGACTCCTGCACTATCAGGGATTAATTCACCTTCAAATATCTCAGTCTGATCGTTAAGGGTTGCTTTTTTACAACAAAATCATTTTACAAAAAACATACAGTCATATGCAAAAGTTTGGGCACCCCTGGTCAAATTATGTTCTAAGTGAAAATAAGTTAACACATCCTCTACAGAGAACACACTTCTGCTCATTTTAATGCACAATTACTGTGTATTTGATGAATCTAATATATTTTAGGAAAAGTAAAACAAAATGTGGCCTGTACAAAAGGTATAGCACATTTTATATTTTATGTATTGTTTTGTCCAAAATATTAAACTCAGCAGATAAACAGAAACTAAAATTTGTAGCAAAGTGCCATATTTGGGTGAATTCCCTGTAGATGTGTTATCTTATTTTCACATAAAGATAAACAAGACAAGTCATTTGACCGGGGGTGTTTAAACTCTTGCATACAACTGTATCACATGGAGACATCCGGTAAACACTGACATCCAACTGCACTGCAGCTGATGTCCCATGTCATCCCAAACATCCTGGTAAAAAGCAATCCCTTATCTGACTTGAGCTATTTTTCGACAGAAGTTAAACATAAAAACAACATTGTTTAAAAAAAAGAAAGTGACCACATCTGGTAAATTAGTAAATGATTATGGTTTTTTAGCATCCCGAACACTTCCACTACTCAAAAGAACAAAAACAGACCCGGGCACACCACAGTGCTAACATGGAAAACAAAATCAGCTTAAATTGGCAAGAAATAATTTCCCTTTATCGTATAATCAGGGGGATTATGTGGTTTTATAACAACAGAAAATCATGTAATTCGCAGTGGGATTTGTCAGAATTAATATTCAGTATTAACAAGATTAAATTTCAGCAAGCAACAAACTAGAGCCGCATGCAAGGCTGCTAAAACACAGTAATAAGGGGAGGTGTCACGCTGTGGGCTAATGACAAAGTTCATTCCACTCCTAGCAGGGATCACAAAAGCCACATACTTAAGGTAGGAAGCACTTTATCCCTCTGTTCAAAGATCAGCTTCTGGACAGCCAAATGCCAACCGAATACAAGTCAGCACTGACCACAGACCAGAGGTTTAATCCCATGATCCTTATCAATGGCAATTGTGGCCAACATAAAGGTAAACAACCCAATATGCCTCACTGTCACCATGAAACAGCCTGTGCACATGGAAATGATGCATGGTAAGATAAGCAGACTGAAGGCCAAACCGTCGATTAGGTTCTATCACAATCATCATCATGCACATGTGTCCACAGTGCTGAATGTTTATCACATGAAAGAAATAAATCACAGCAAAACAGCTTTATTGCATTTTACTGTAAAATATGAGATGATGTTTGATGTTGGTACTGTCTTTGTATTACGGTATGAGCTACAACAGGAACTGCTGCACTAAAATTACAGCATGAAATATTGGTCTGTTATTGCACTTTTACAAAAAAGGCACAGACTAGAGATTTAAGGCCTAAATCAAGATGCGTATTAGTGATACCTCATTGCATTAAACAAGGCAATGCCTTAAGCAGCTGAGAATAAAAGCAGAAACTGTAGACGATACATATACGGTCCAAAATGACATGGAATAAAGTCTTGCATTTCAAGTTTAGTCCTTTTTGTCCTTCTCTTGTACCATCTTTCTACCATTTTGGGGGTACAAGGGTTTGTTCCAGCAGTGACAATATTCATTCATATTCAGCCGTATTTAATTCTCTTCCAGATTGTTTAAGCCATTGTTGTGTTGAGTATGCCTCTCTGCCATTCACAAAAAAATAATAACAGATGGGTTAGGCCTGCTAGACTAAATAACAGCTACACCCAGCGTAATGCACATCCTGTCATTTTACAACACAGAGGCCCCCAGCATGGGATTTACTAAAGCGCTGACGGAAGCCTGTGGATGCTTCTCCTGTCTAAATCATAGACAAAGCTAGACGCAAAACAATAACTTACAAAACTACTTCCCACCTCTGAATGACTTCATTTGAGTTTAGAAACTCTAGAGGTCAGTTTCCCACAGTTGCAAGTCCAGTCTTGGGCTTGGTTTGATGTGAAATGCATCATCATAGAGAGATCCAGTCAGAACTGTTCACAGTGTTGGGGATGGGAACCAGACATCTAAAGGGTTTAATGCCTCTAAAAGCTCCCTTACAGAAAGTTACTGCGTGACATGATTATGAATATGCTGCCTGATGCCCAAGACATTGTGTTATGATCATTTTAGAGTGGTATATGCAGGATGTTCTGAGGGCAAAGTAGTTAACAAAGACCCAAAAATAATTTCTCAGATTTCACACTAGTTTACCTTTATAACATATATAAAAATTGTATAACATGATGTAACATTACGATGTATATAGAAAGACGTGTAAGTTCACAGTTTGTTTTGGATGGTAAATAAAACGGCTATATTTGTGTTGTGAACACAGAGTCCTGGTTCCAATCACTCCCACTGTAAATCTGAGTCAATAGGTTTCTCTACAGTGAGCCATTTCACATCAAACCCTGATTGAATTATGCAAAAATTTGGTGGAATTCCCTTTTAACTTCGTAATTTAAACACTCTCTAGCCACCTAGAAACATACGGTACATAAAGGGAATTCTTTTAACCAATTAAAGGGTTTTCTTTGTATGGCACTTTCAACACAAGACATTGTCCCAAAGCAGCTTTCCATATATCTGGGTGCAGACCCAGGAATAAGAGAGGAATAATTTGGGGATTGAGAGCATAAGAAAGAACCACTGAGAGGAACCAAGACTGAAATGGGGAACTTGTTCTCCTCTGGGTTGCACCAGATAATGGAATAATAGAACTTCACAGAGGCACTTAGGATCATACAGAGAAAGGAGCCATGAGATAAGCCAGTGTTAAAGGTCTATCAGAGGACCAGATAAAGATCTTGTGGATTACCTGAAAAAAAAAGGCCTTTACAAATAGTGAAGTATGGATTTTTACTTAGCGTGAATGTAAAGTCCAGTCTGACATTAATGTAGATTTTAAATAGATGGTGGAGCAGAATCAGAATTATGAAAAGGTAAAGAATCCTGATCTCAATACCAGAGAAGAAGAGTTCTGCAGTGGCACCTGAACCAATAGAGAGGAATGAAATCTAGCTGTGGTCAACACAAACACCAGAGAGACTTTCAAACAACACAGCACTTCAGTGTCCATCTGTCAGGGATGATCCGTCAACTAGATTTATTTTTGAAGAGTATCCAGAACTCTTCATGAAAGTTTATCCTCAGCCTGAAAGGCTGGGTTTTCATTCCCTTCCTCTCCAGTTTCTGTAATAGCATCCATGTTTGTGTCGCTTTGAGCTTTCTCCTCTGTGTCACAGGCCTCAGCATTGGGTTTCTGGAGTTTAACCGGTTGCCTGTAGGACAACAAGAGCAGCCCACTTACAATGAGCAAGACAGAGGAACAAATCCCCATTACGATGCCCATGCCCACCTCCTGTCTATAAGGAGCAGGGGGAAGGTGGAACTCTGGGGGGAAATCTATAGTGCGATTCTCCAGCACTGAATTCATATTCCAAAACACAGGAACCAGAGAGCATGTCGCAGTGAGGAGGTACAAGACTCCAGCTAACACGAAGGCCCATCTGATGTGGCCTCTGTTAATATTAAAGTACACATGTCTCACAGCGTATCCTGCAATCAGGTTTCCAGCAATTCCTATAGGAATGGCAGTCATGCACAGCACCTGTGCTGCAGCGATCTCCGGAGGAATGAAAGAGTCTGTGATGCTGATGCTCTGGCAGAACTCAAACGTGTCAAGAACATGGCTGTAGAAACAGGCCCTCCAGATGCCCACCCAGGCCACGCCAGAGTTGATGACTGACAGGTCGTCCACGTACCATAGCCTCCAATCATTCACTCCACTAGTGCCAGCCGTTAAGATAAGTCCCAATACCGCCAGCACCAGACCCAGGAACTGCCTGTGGGCTCTTTTGGCCACAAAGGCCATGACTGTCACTGAGGTCCTCCTCACACTGGTCTCTGGTACATGGCTGCCGTGCAGTCATACAGCTTCCGTCACTGGTGAAAGAAATATGGGAATGCCACTTCAGATTAACTGTTACAGTTCACTGAGAGAAAAGGTATTTCTAAGTAAAACAGTTCATTATTCATTGTTATTTTCATTGTGTGTGTCATCATAACACATTAAACATATCACCGAAGGAACAAAACCTTGCATTCCTATTTTTGCTGTTTTTTATTTTTCCTCATGATTTGAAAATGCCAGTTGCCCTTTACATTGCGGCAAAACTTCATCATGAACGGACAAATATTTATCTCCAATGACTTAGAATAAAATCTTGTACCATTAACTTTCACTAAAAATGAAGGATGCCCCCCCCCATCTCCTCCAATGTTACTTTTTGGAGATAGAAGGTTTTGTTCTGACAGTGATGATATATTACAGCTTAGTTTTTTAAATACATACGATGAAGAGGCACTGTAAGGCTATACTTCAAAATATTTGTGCAAAATTATACAAACTCAAAAAGGTCCACAAGAGACAAAAGGCCATTAAGTATAAAATACTCATATTTCAGGAGATGTGTCTGATTAGATATGATGTAATCCCCTTGCATAAGGAAGGGGAAAGTCGAAGGAAAGTGAAAAGGAAAGCTTACAAAACTAGAGTTAGAAAAATGGTTATAAGATGTAGAGAAAATGGGACTTTCAGCAACTGTGCAAGACCTGGTAGACCACCAAACCTGCCAGCACCATATCAGCAGTACTTACAGCTTTCATATTTGAGAGGAGACAATCAAGCTCCACTCTTGCTTCAGATCTGAAAAAATCCATAGGTGTTTCTGTCCATCCTTCCACTGCGAGACGACAAGTCAACACTATGAGTCTAACGGATGTGTAGCTGTCAAGAAGCTGTTACATCACTGAATGTGTTTGGGACTAGTTGGATTGTGAGAAGCAGAAAATGCAACCAACTTCTAAGACTGAACTGTGGAGGTGTGGAAAAATATCCCTGCAGATTTCTTTAAAAACTGAAAGCCTGCTAGAGTGTAATAAAGGCACACACTAGACACACTTAATACTAAAAAAGTTCTTGTATTTAGTTGTTGAGGCTTTTGTGTAATCTTCTGTTGAACAGGTTTTCTGATTTTTTCCACTGATGTTGAAAAATAACTCTTACTCAAAGGCCATTTAGACTAGAAATGAAATGAACGGTGGTCTCCGACTTTTGCACAGTATAGTATGTATTTAGTGAAGTGAGAGAAACAATTACGACATTCCCACCCGGAGTTAAACAGCAGGTCAAAAGCCAAAATATAATTTACAGTAAGCTGTGAAAACATTGCATGTTCAATGTGGCGTCACTGTCAAACAACAGAAAGCGATTTAGGTCATTTTTAGCACATCTATGTCCAGAGATCCACTTTGGACAATACTACTCTGTGTTCCTCAAACACTTAGTAAATTGTTTTCTATTGTTCTTGGACTAAACTTGTTAAATAAAAAACAAGTAAAAAAGCCAACAAGTAAAGGGGTCCATTACCTCAGAAAGTATGAGCTCTGAAGAATCCACAAAAATTGTAGATGCATAAAATCAAGTGTGGAACTGAACTGAACATAAACTGAAGTTTAACAACACAGCTATCACATCTGATAGGAAAAGGACAAGTAGACCTGCAGTTAATGATTGATACATCCTATCCACTAAAGCCAGGCAGGACTGGCAGGCAAGAAATTATTCAGTTCCATCACATGTATCCAAAAACAGTAACACTCACTGTAATCACACAGTTTTTAAGATAAGTTCTCTTGAGTACACTTTAGTGCATTTGTAAACTAGCGTTGATATTCACAAAGCAGTGGTATTATACAGCTGATCTCAGATCAGACTGCTTCATATTTATGACAGTCAGTCAGAAAAACTGCTTGTAGATCAGCACTCCCACTCCTGAAGTTTTTGAAGAGAGGCCTAGAAAACCAAACTTTCTAGCTATCATGCTGCCATTTCTATTACATATATTAGCAACCTTACTTTTCCATATAACGTGTTATTTCCTCTCACTGGTTTGCCTGTTGTGTGCTAAATGTTAGTCAACCTGAAGTTTTTATGCAAAATACATCATTTTTAAAGTCTTTTCTTCTTTCAAAACATTAATCTTTAAAACATCTTCTTAATTTTGATTGCATCTGCGCACCATCAGGCAGGGAAAAACAATATTAACCAATAATATCATACTTCACCTCCCCCTTTCACTAACCCCACCACCAACTTGGAGATCCTCCCTGATACTCGATTTCACTCATAAATGCATCATGGTATGGAAGGAAAATGATTCATATTTCCTATACGTGTTAACTTAAAAGTACACTTTTCAAGTTTGGGAATTTGGAGACCTCTCTGGTGGAACTGTGTAATTGCATGCAAAATGAGGTAGCACATTTTTTCTAACATCAGTTGTGCTTGGATCCCTTCCCCGGGGGGATGAATCTGATGATTGCAAATGCACTGAAAGATTATTTAAAGGGAACTCAGTCAACACTTGGTAAAGGACATCCTCTGAGGATGTGAGTGATCTACTGTCATATCTTCATCAGTATAATGCTGATTTTGTATTTGAGACTGAAACATCGAGCCTTCTTTTTGAGCCTGTGCATGTGAAGTTAATACATAAAGACGTATGACGTGATAAAATTATTATATAGTGCATCTTTAAACTGTACCTTTTAAACTGCTCCTTTTAAAGCTCAACATTATTTTAAATGTGTCTGGTATGGAAGTGATGTGATTTCTTTGCTTGAAAAACTGCTCTAAAAGGACTTTGCAGAGATATTCTTATCTGGTACCTCTGCATTCCAGTCACAGATTAAAAGATTTTGAGGACACTTGGACATTTCTGCCAATCTGAAAATAACTTGGTGCTCCTGTGGGTATGCAAGAAGTAGGACCTCACAGTCTCTTCCATGTTCCACTTTGTGCAGTGTCATTAAAATAATTTACCCTCTATCAAGTCCATCTCTCAGCTCATGTCAAAGTATTTTTCCTAATTCGGCAAAGTGCGACATGCTGGCTACACAGAGGAAGGAGAACACTAGTAGTATCTATCACAATGTATCAAGCCATTCCTTAAAAAATAATAGATTAATGCAAAAAAATTCAGTAATATCATGTACCATGTATCACAAAACACAAAGGATTACACAGAGACAGAACGCTGAGCAAAAGGCATCCAGTACTTTATAGGCAAGCATTCAATCCTCAGTGAAAATCTTGTATTGCTCAGGAAAGTCTCTCAGATACCTTAAACAAAGTCATATGTTGAGGCAGCTCTAATTTCAAATGTTACACTTCAGAGTGTGAAGATATATTTCTATAAAAAAGCAGGTAGGCTAAAGGGAGAGTTTACTTGGCTATAATGAAGTGAAAGAGTAAAATACTAGCCTACTCTAGTTGTATTTACACATTTAAAAGCCTACAATAAATTACTAAAACAACATGGAATTATTTTCAGCATGACACATACAGGGAATGATGCCATATGAAATAATGCACCATCATAAAAATCAGGTTTGGAAGTTGTAACCTCCTGAAATACATGTTTCACTGGAATTTGATACTGAAAGAGTGAAACAAAGAAGAAATGTTATGAATATAAGCTGTAAATGGTAACATTTAAGTCCTCTAAGTTTACGCTAGGGAGAAAAGTGGTTTGCGCAATGGGTCGAGGCAAGGAAGACTCAAAGAATCATCTTTGATCGCCCACTGGTGGTTAAACAGCAAAACAGCAATAAGAGAGATATACTTGTGATTAATATGGACTGGACTGCCCTAGTAAGAATGAGAGGATAGAACACCATAATAACAGTACCAAGGTATTAACACGGTCAGAGCAAGTTACAGTAAGCGCTTTGATAAATCGACATTCTTCCAGTACAATTTTTTTAAATCACACAATATAGAGTGTTGAAGACGTAGCCCAAGTAGAGTTCTGCTCGGAGAGGTCCAAAAACATCCAGAAAGTGATACAGCTGTGTTCATATTGTGTTCATAAATGCTCATTAAGACTATTCTGAAAGCGCCCAGCACCATCAGGGTCTCAGCAATAGCAGAGAGTCTAATAAGAACCACATCTGTTCAATTTGTCCATATCTGGCAAAGAGTCTTTGAAATATGGCCAGAAATCACTTTAATAGCACTCAAAAACACAGCGCTGTTGTGGCACCCTGTCAGGCAAGATTATCCCTCAGTGGTGTGGTCAGGACCAGTCCTCAGGTAGGCATCCTCTGGTCTGGAGGCAAACTGTCCAACAGACACTTGAGCTGCTCCTCGCCAAGTTTGATTTTGTCTTCCAGTTTGCGCTGCTCAATGATGAGGGCCGACTTCATCTTAACAAAGTGCTTATAGTCGGCTAGGCTCTCCTCCTGAAGACAACTGGCCAGGATGTCATAAACCACACGCTCGCGGCGGTCCAGGTTCTCCTTCAGCTCCTTGGCGTCCTCATGCTGGCGGATCAGCAGCTTGCGCTTCTCTGTCAGTGTGCACTGCAGAGGAGAGAGAAGAACGATCAGAATGCAACTTCCAACATCACACTGAATAAAACTAGCTATGTATAAATCAAGCAGATTCAGACCCCTCCATCCAGTTGGGATTTTTCACAGTGGTGGTGATAACCAAACATTCAAGCTGAATGCCTCTCAAAGCTAAATCTCCAAGTTATACTGCCCGATCCTGAGACATTGTTTTATGATAGTTTTGAGAAGGTTTTGGCCTAAACAATTTATTTATATATATATATATATATATATATATATAAATATATAAAAATATATATACATATATATATATATATATATATATATATATATATATATATATATTTTTTTTTTTACCCAATTTTCTCCCCAAATTTAGTCGTCTCCAATTCCACCCGCTAGTTAGGACTCCCCCAATCACACAATACCATCAACGCTAGGAGGGTGAAGGCTAACACACAGGCTGCCTCCGAGACCTGTGAAACCAACCACCGCTTCTTTTCGAACTGCCGCTCACGCAACGTCACTGGACAGCTGAACACGCTCGGAGGAAAGCACCAACCGCCAGATCTGTTACGTCAGCTAACAGGCGCCTGCGCTGACTAGCATCGCGTTGAGTGATGGGGGAGAGGGAGGGGCCATCCTACCCACCCAGAGAGAGTGAGGCCAATTGTGCTCTCTAGGACTCCCGGCTAAGGATGGCTGTAGCATCACCAGGGATCGCCTTGCGATCTCCTGATGATAGGGCCAACGATTATACGGTTGCGCCACTCAGGAGCCAATGGCCTAAACATTTTTATTTATTTATTTTTTTTAAGTACATTAATGGCAGAGAGATACATGCAGAGCACTGTGAGGCAAAAGAAAACCAAAATAAAATGCATTTTTTTCAGATTTATCACTTTTATCATTACTAACTTAGATGACACATGTAGGTTTACTGGTGGTTTTGGATAGTAAATAAAATGGCTCTCTCTATTGTAGACATTGTGACCCCTGGTCCTATCATTAGAAAAACAGTCAATACATTTCTCTACAAGGCACCATTTCCATATCAAAACACTGAATTACTTCGCTTAGATCTCAATGACTGAATCATGCTGAAATTTTAAAAAATTGGTGGAATTTCCCTTAAGAAAGGAGACGTTTGGCAAGAAAATGAAATGAACACAATTTTCCCTGTACCTCAAATCGATCAGCTGAGACAAGTTTATTTTTTTAGTTTTACACTGGAAATACAAGGCTGTATATTAATGTAGCCAACAATTAGTGGAAATTTACAGTCCACCAACTAGCACCAAACTTTCATCCTGAAATCATCACACTTCCCTCAAACTGTGCCAAGTCTCTGACACTGCATGACATTGTTAATCTATCAATGTTGACAAACACACAGATAAAACCCGCTTAAGAGATGGATGTTGCTACTCTTTAGGCTAGCTATTCAATGCGCTTCCATTTCTGTATGTTATACATTGTCAGAAATAACATTAGCAAGTCTGTATGAGATTATTTAAATACTTAATGCAGTTTGAGGCAAGTGTGTGAGGTGATTAAAGTATGCATTTTGCATAATGCCGTTCTTTTTTTTCGCTACATTAGCCTCCTAGTAGCCCCAATGTAAAACTAAAGATAAAGACTTTGGACACCAAACATTTCTTGGCTGATCACCTACATTTGGGAAAAACTGTGTTTGTCTTGGTACCATTTTGATGGCCCTGAACTCCTTTACATTACTAATTTAAACAACTAATTCAATCCACTCTGTTCTTTCTCTTTTGTCTCCTCACCCTCTCCTCCAGTGACGCATCCTCCTCCAGGCTGTTGAGAGCATTCTCCACTCGGGCCAGACGCCCAGACAGAGACAGCAGCAGACTGACCACTTTGTCCAGGTCCCCCACGAACATGCGGAACTTCTCCAGCTCATTTGGTTTGCACACAGCCTGCACGGTGGCCTCCACCTCTTCCCCCAGGGCGTTGTTGTCCTGCATGTCCTCCTGCAGACTCTCTCGAGCCTCCCGCAGCACCTGCAGCTTCTTGCTCAGGCTGTCAATCAGCTCATGCTGCAAAAGGAGAAATAAAGGTCACTGGTGAGCAGGTCTCCTAGTACCTTCTTCTCCATCACCATAGCCTAAAAAAGGGTTGAAAGCTGAAACTGTCTTTTAATCTGACTAACTGAATCTTCACATATAGAGGTTTTTGAGTGGAAGCAAACAGAAAAAACAAATTGATGAACAAGTAACATTCACCTTACCTTGCACGTCTATGAAATAAATAGCACCTCTTCACTGGCATGTTGAAGTCAAAGTTAATCGGAAATCATAACACATTTTCCTATCATACTGTGATGTACATTTGAGTGAAATACGGTATCAGAGAAGCTGTCTGAGCTAGAGCGCTTTCACTCAATGATAGGTGTAGGTAGTGGGAGGAGGAAGTGAAATGTGACATCACATTAATTAATCGTTAATATTTTTTCCTCACCAACTGGTGCATGGTGTTAACAATCAGGGAACATTTTTGAGGCTGGCAAAGGCACTACATACTGATAAAAGATTACTGGGAAAACAAGAATTATGTCTTTTAAGTGATGCAGTATGATGAATCATCCTAATAGGACCAGGAACACAAACTACCAAGGTAAAAAAGACTTACATTTTTAGTTCTGTACTATAGACATTTCCCTCCATGCTGCACCAACGTATACCAAATTAGGATTTTAAAAGAGCACATTGAACCCAGTAAGTTTAAAAAACACAAAAAACTACAGTTAAAGTCACATTACTAATAAACAACTCACAACAATGATGCAATTTTTATGTTTCAGTTTCTTTCGCTATCCATTTAGTTTATCCCGGAAATTGACTGAACAAGCTTCTGTAGTCACTGGACTACAGAAAATAATAAGCATTTTCTGAAGGACAGAAACACTCAACATTTTCAACAATGAATTTCATACTGTCACTTATCTGTTTCAAAGAATCTGCTCAGTAAACATTATAGGCCTGTGCAAGCATGATGGAATCAATCAGATCTCACTCACCAATCTCAGATGGCTTTGTTTCAACATAGTGTCATTATGAAACTTATAACAACTGCCTAAGCAGTATGTTAGCAAAGGAAGGGTGGCTTAACATAGTAGAGAGTACAGAGTAGTACGAGAGACCATACACTACCTTCTTGTTTGCAAGGTCACTGTCGTTGTCCTCTTCCAGCTCCTCTTCCGAGTCAAGCTCTACGCTCTGCTCTTGCATGTCCTTCATCTTGATCAATAGCTCAGCTTTGGGAGCAGACGTGCTATAATAAGCTGAGCTTGTCACCAAAGCTGCTACTGCCGCCATGCTATCCTCCTCCCTTCTAAGGAACCAAAGATAAAAATGCAGAATGTTAAGATTTATCAAGGTTATTGTTCTCATGTCAATGTTTCTTTGTAACTGTGAAAGGACAAGCTAAACAGGCACACATTTTCTTTAGCTATACTAACCTTAAATTACTGAAGAACTGCAATACAAGATTTAACCAGCAGAGGGCTTTTGAAGACAGCTTTTAAAACAATTTTTGACAAGAAAGATATACCACGCGTGCACAATAACTTTGTGGGGGAAATCGTAAACTAATAATATTCACTAAAGGGAATTCTCAACTGTTTATGGGCTTTTTGAGCTCAAAACATCTTCCACTCTAATAAAAGCTCACTGTTCACAAAACTAGCCTACATTTTATATTCAAGTCCACACTAAATTGGACACAACTAGACATCAAGGGCACCATACATCAAAGTCTGTGGCTGACAGACAGTGGGACTGACCTGTCCTCAGAGTTGCGTGATGAGGCCTGGTTAGGTGCAACCCTCCTTCGTTGGTGAGCCTCCTCCATCAGTTGCTCTTCTTGGGGAAAAATCCCTTCCATTAGGTCCATGGTAGTCCTCATTTTACTCTGGTCCAAAATATCAGCCAGAGACTTATCTTTGTCGATGATGTCCCTAGCCAACACCTCTCTCTTCTCATCCTCCTCAGCGTGGGAGGAGGAGGATCCGAGGTTAACCGAAGAGACCCCATTACTGCTCTGATTCACACTGGAGTCTTTCAGCTGGCCATGCTGCTCCAGGGGCCCTGTGACATCGGCGTAAGGTTCTTGCTCCTTCTGATTGCCCATGGTGTCTCGGACTTCTGCCTCCTGGTCCTTTTGCCGTGTATATGTGCAGAATGGAGAGGAGGACTGCTTCGGGGTTGCCAAGCAGGAGAGAGATGAGACTGTGGACCCCTGTGGGCTGGGTGGGGTCTCACTGCTTGGGTGAAGATACTGTCGACTTTCTTTCTCTGTGTTACTTTCGGAGTGGACTATCTTGATGGGCACCTTTTTCACTGTGGTGTTGTCGTCAGTCACCCTGTCCATCCTAAAACAGAATAAAAATTCAGAGATCACTCAGTATATTCAGACAGACTAAGCACACTAGCTGTTTGCCATCAAATACAGAACAAACAATACTGAAAAAAAGTGCTGGAAAAGATGACTAAAGATGACTTCTCTAAATAATATTATTATGTTCATGAGTCAACTGGAACTTGCAAAATGGAAATACAAGCTGGTAAATTGAGATATATACATAGAACAACCACTACCACAGAATTCCAAATAGGTGTACAGTTCAGCAGCAGTTACAGTGAGCCTATCCATACACGGTGGCTGATTAAAAGTCATATGACATGACAGGGTTTTTTTCTTTCCAGGCCCAACATAATGGCATACTCCGACCTCTGGACTCCTCCCCATGAAAGGACTTCTGGGAACTAGAAAGAACTGCACAAAAATACCGCTGCTCTACAGAAAAAAAAAACGAGTGAGCACAAATGAGAGCGAGAGAGATTCTCAATGAACAATATGTCGGCTAGACGTCTTTTCTAGAGGCTGGGGGTGGTCTGAATTTGACTGCCTTTAACTACAGTAGCATGCAGTGGCCAGAAGCGTATGAATAAGCCTCTTGTATAGAGTTGAATATAATAAGGAAAGCAGCATCGTCATTAAATTACTGGGCTGAAGAGTGGGACAGTTTCCAGTGATCATTTTAGGAGTGCAGCTGAAGGAGAAGCCCAGCTGTGGTCTGCCAGTGGAAAAGCTCTCCACAAGCACAAACTCTGCATTCAGCCGCCATACTTTATACATACTTTAACCAAAGTTTTAGTAAGGAGATCTGGAAAACTCTTACCTTCCAGAGGCTTCATCCTGCAGGGAGACAGACACCGGAGGTTTGTCAGTCAGTCTCTGGGGAGCAAACTGTGGCGAGGGGGAGCGCTGTCCCTCCATGGTGGGCTGGGTCAGGCCAGAGGCTTGGTGGACAGGCGGAGCAGCAGGGGTAGGAGGGACAGGAGGTGTGATATCTGATTGTTGCTCCTCCTCGCTTTTCGGACCCTTGCTATAATCTGGGTCCTTCCAGAAAATCTGGGTGGGAACAGGGGCGGAGGTGGTATCTCTAACAGGAGAATGCGAAGTTGTGGCTTTGCCCTGAGAGCTGGAGAGAGGAGGCGTGGTCTCAGGGTATTTGTACTTGTCCAGGCGGGGCAGGGGAGGTCTCGGAGAAATCGAGCCCTTGCTTTTGGTGAAGGAGGAGGTTTCAGGGAGGATGCTGTGGTCAGGGAAATAGAGAGAAGGGCAAGCAGAGTTGGGAAGAGATTTATGATGGGCTGGTAGAGGGTCTGAGCAGAGGTTTTTCTCCAGGTCTCCTCTAATTGAAAGTGATGGTGGAGGTTCTAGATTCTTAGATACTAAATCACTGTATCCTCTTTCATTTAACCTGAGGAGAAAAAAACAAAGTTATGTACTTGCATTGTGTAGTCAAATATTCATGCTGTCTATGCATTAAGTTAGAAACACATATCAAAGGCTGCAACTGTGAATGCGTCTGTCATTTCTAGTGCACAAAGCGCCACTGTGCTATGTGTAAATCGATAGGAGAGCACTCATTTCTCCCACATTTCACCATCTCTCCATGGTAACTCCCAGGCTGGCTGTCATACTCCACATATTTCTGTTCCCACAAGCCTGTCATGCTGTGGATAATGAATGCTCTTTCCCCCACAGTCAACAGCTAAGAGAACACTTTGCCTCCTTAATCTCAATTGTTTTGGTTTATTTATTTATTTTTTTTACCCTTTTTGCTGTCAGTGATTTTAGATTTATAAGTCATGACAGCAGAGAGGGACAAAAAATGCCCTGTAGAAGTGTTTTATGAAGCAATAGTGGGTCACTGTGGCCCAAACTTTTATAAAAAACAAACTTGTTTGGTAAAAATAAATAAATAAATCAAAAATAGTATTTTACATATTAGTATTTCAATACAGCATGGATTCTTTCAAAATTCACCATTCATTCATGTGGTGAAAAAAAATCTTTTTTTAAAATACAAAAATCACTACATTTATATTTGTATATTGTAATATTTTATATTTTTTCATAGTTCAAAATGAAGCCAAACTATGCAGACCCTCACTGCCAGAATTCACAATCATGGCTAGCCACAATTTACTTTTTCAAGGACAGCTCAAGTACCTGTCAGGCACAAAGAACCAGCCGCCGTACTCCGTAGACAGAGACGAAGAAAGATTTTGACTGAAGGATGAGAAAAAGAGGAACAAGGAGCGGAAAAAGAAAAAGCAAAGATAACAAAGGAAAGAAAAGTAATGACAGTCAGAACATGCAGTGTTGCAGAATTTTTTGAAAAAACTCAGCAGATAAGTTCACAACACTTTAGATGATGCATGCCGTAAGAAGTGGTCATCATTATGACATACATGTTTGGAAGCAGAAAATGTATGCTTGGATTCAAAGCCAAACATATTTTACAAGGACAGAAAAGGGATACAAATGTATCATCTAGCAGGTAATACGTGTGGTGAGCAGAATACATGTATTAAATGCAAACATGCATAGACATGCAGTGAGTTTCCTCACTGAGTGTCAACAGTCTGTAATCGAAGTCAGGAAAACCACTCTGGTCACAGTGTAATTATCACCTTCTAATAATAAAAACCTCATAGAAAAAAAGAAATATGCTAGAGAACAGATCTATTCTGGCCATAATTAGTAGTCAGTCAGTTATGACAAGCTAAACATAAGCATTGCTTATTTTTCACTATCTCAGTTCAGTATTTAAAAGTAACCATTTCCTTGTCTTGAAAAAGCAAATGTATCCAAAAAGACAGGGGTACAACTTACTGCCAACTTTTTGTCTACATCTTCAGTCATACAGAAAATCTAATACAATTGAATTTCAACCTCAATACAACGCAACAAACTCCACTCACCATGGCTGATCGGGTAATCTCATGTTACAGGGAGGTCTGAACACATCTGAGCGTCTGCCGTGACAGGTGCTTCCTGGAGCACTGTATGTGCAAGCTGGGTGGGGCTGCAGGCTCTACCACGGATTTACTTAACACTAGCTTCTGTCACACAAGTTATGCTCTATTCTACATTGAAGTCAAAGTCAATAGGCTAACTCAAACTAGATACTTGACACCTTTAAGTTTCACTGCAAAGTCCTGTTTCACCAGCAGAGTGTGGAGTTTGCATATGCAATAAGTGTGGTATGAGAAATTCTCAAATAATTTTCTACTATTATAACACTATTTTAAAAAAAAAAGTAATAGTAACAACATTTAGTAATGATATCTGTTTAGCAGTAATAAATCTTTAACCTGACTATCTTGTAGAAGTCACGGTTGAATGCAAGGAGTTAATTTAACCTCCCTACTTTTCAGCTTCAAAGCTACTCGTGGACAGTCTCGACAATAACCATGCTCTTCACAACACTTTAATTACAGGCAGGAGAAGACATGATCATTTTATAGGGTGCAATTTAACAAGCTTTAGATGATGGATGCAGGGTTTAAGTGGGCAACATGCTAATTAAAGTGAACCACCCCTTACTTTTACCCAAAGGAGACAGATAAGAGAATGAAGAGAGGCCTGTAAGTTCAACATATAAAAAATGAAAGAGGGGGAAAAAAATGAATGCCTGCAAGGTCATCTGATATATTATACAGAAGCACCAACTATACCTGTTACATAACAATTCTTTAGCTTTCTCTGACATAACAAACCTTAGTTTTAAATAAAGTCCATTCTGTACTTTATAAAGCTTGTTGCTAAACCAGTGGCTGACTAATTTATACAAAAACAACACAAATGGCAAGACATTTATTTTAAAGAACTGTCATTAGTTTCCACAAACTAGAGGTGGACAATATGACAATATTTATTGCTGGAGCAATAAATGGAGCAAATTATTTTAGGTCACAACATTCCTTTTTGAGCATATTGCTAATATCATCAGCACTTAAAGAACACTGACCAACTGCATGGTTACAAAGAGAGAATAACTATTCTTGCTTAACTAGATTTTGTGCAGCCCAGTATGTTAAATGTATTCATAATTTCTGAAGTAAATTTTTTGTCTGCTGCAATTTATCCAGTCTTAGAAACTCAACATTGTGATGCATATTGCGTATAGTACTGTGATGATAAATTTTTTGCCATATAGCCCAACCAATCAATAAGCATCCAGAGAAGAAAAGGACATGCATATGAGGATAAGTGTGGTGGCCAACCTGGACATTTCCAATTTAGACAAAGAAGGGACAAACATAAGGGATAGCACAGCACTGATTCTCTATCACTCAGAGAGTAAAGAAATATAGTGATGCCAAGCTTGTACTGGCCCAGTTACATGCATGGTTAATACATTAACCCATCACAGGACCACACAAAAGTCTTATATTTCATATATGGTCTTGCATGGTTTTGATATTCAAACAGTTCTGTATGGTGTCTGAAGACTGCAACTTCATCGAATCCAAAGTTTTCCACTTTGGCACCACACAAATACTCAGTTTCAGAAGTGTACTGAAGGACTGGAGTACACTAGTTAGCCTCTGAATAGTCAGAGGCTAACTATTCATCACCTGTAAGAGGTAAAATGCAAAGCACTCTCATGCATGAAGAAATATAGAACCCAATACATGAATTCTAATTGTAACTGTAAGTGTAGACTAAAATGTTGATTCAGAATGTTCTTGCCAGAAACGTGAGCCTTTACTACTGCAAATATACACAAAAATGAACAGTATGAAGATACAAAACGTGTTTCTGAATGGTGACACGTACACGCAGGACAAAATATTGACACTTTAACACAGTGTCCTGTTCTCTTTGGCCAAGTGAAATTGGGTGCACTTTTAGTATTCTGGGAATTAAATGGGTCACACTCAAATGCCTACATCTCAGAGATCGCCTCACCACACAAACCCCAGTCACTAAGGATGGCTGTCACTGCTGGGTCAGGGCCATACTGTAGTCAGGCCTGTGGTGTCCACAAAGGGACTACTGTTCCTCTCTGACCCAACTAGGTCTGAATGAATGGCCTAACAGCAGAGGTCATTGTACTAGCTCAGCTTCTCAAAGACAGCAGCGCAAAGTAAGTGACACTTATTACCATTAGCATTGTTTACCCTCTAAAAGGACACGTGGCTGGCTAGACATCACAACCCCTGGTTCCAATCACCACCAAATTTATAGAAATCTAAGTCAGTTTCAACACTTGCAAAATTAGTCCATTTTAGGTGGGACAACAAATAAAAATAAAACTTCGTCACTTACCTGGGGCTAGAGTTGTCATGATCAGAGAGTTTTCTTTCAGATGAAGGGTATTCAGCTGACTTCCTTCCCTGTATTTGGATGTTCTGAGAAGAATACAACACATACAACTTTTAACATTCTACAACCTAAGGCAAGTATCAACACATGCACTTGCCTCATATCAAATGACGCAACAATTTCCCTGTTAGAACACAACTTTAACTTCAATATATGAGGTGCTTTCCTTGACACTGGCTGCTCTCCTTGTGTGAGGGTGTGGCTTTGTGTGTAGACATGGGTTAATGTTTGACCAATGTCCTGCCTTTATTCTCGCATTACTCATTCAGCAAACCTGCCTGAACAAGGTTAAAAGCTAACGAGCTCTCAAAAAAAGCACAACACTGGTAAATATGCAAATGTCTGATGAACAATGACAAAAGATAAAATGCATTTGTAATGATTATGTCAAAAGCAAAACACTAACCTGACCATAGAAGTCATCAGAAGGAGAGGACCGTGACCTTTCGTGAAAACAGGCAGGCTTACTCCGTTGCTCCACCGCTTGATCAAGGATGTTATCAGCTGAGTGGTACCTTCCAGACGTCCTTGGTTCCACCACTTTTCTCTGTGTTTTCCATGTGGCTTCATATTCTGCAAAAGTGCCCAGTCTATGCAATGCAGTAGGACCATCCTGGCCTTCTTTAGGGCTGTTCTCAGCAGCTGTTGCTTTAGCATTACTATCTCCTGTGGTTGTATCACTTTGTGCAGGCTGAGGCTTCCCTTCAGGCTTGGCCAACCTTGGATCATCAGATATTTGTTGATTTTGCTTTGGTAAAGGCTTTTGGTATGCAGGTTTTCCTTTTGCCTCAAAAAATTTACGCCTGCCAACTAAAGACACAGTATTATCTAGAGGTGCTGGCTCCTCATCAACACCCATCTCATTAATTTTATCGGGCTCAGACAATGACCGTACTTTCTTTTCTACTGGAAACCGCTTTCGGCCACATATGCGGGTCACCTGGTTACCCCCTGAAGTAGCTTTGCTCAATGGGACCTCGGAAACACTTGGCATGGATGGCGTATCCTTCCAAACAGAGGGTAGATCTTCAGATCCTGGGTGCTCCAGCAGCACTGGCTCCAAGTCTCTCCTCCTGAACGAAGTAGCTTTAAGGACCCGTGCCTGGGCCTCCTTCAGATGATCCTTATAAGTGCTGGTGAAGGAACCATCAGACGAAGAAGCAGAGTTTTCTGTGGACTTCCAGAAAGAAGGCTCTTCTTCAGTCTCCAATGAACCACTCAAGGCTGCTGCACTTCGACTTTTTTGAAGCTGAGCTCTCCTCATTTGTATCTCATTTCTCAAAGTGGTGGCAAATCGGTCACTACGTCGCACTTGCTTACTGGTCTGGGGATCAACTGATTCCTGCTGTGAATTTTCACTTTCCATCTCCTCTTTGTTCTCATTCAATCTGCTGCTCTCTTGGGACAGAGAATGTAACAAAGGGGTGTTTTGGGGACACACATGTGCACCACTTTTAGACAGTAAATGTTCTTGGGAGGACTCTCTCAACTGGAGAGGTGCAGCAATTCTTCCCTGCTCAGATTCCTCATTAGGGGGATAACTGATAAAATGAGTGTCTGAGTTTGTCACAACACTTTGTTTCTGGCTTCCTCTGACCTCTGAAGCTTTTACTGGTGCATCATCAAGCAAAGGGGTATTGACTGCTGTGTATGTACGATGCTGGCTGTCAACCTGCCTGTAATACCCATTGCTGTCTTTGGTGTTTGAAAGGTGAAGTGGTACTTGAGGTGTATACCTGTCTTTCTGCAATCCTTGAGAGCTTCTGTCATCTCCACTATGGGACACATCTATAACAGAATTAGCCTTCCAGTCCTCCACTCTCACTAGTGAGGCTTGGGACAACCCAGGAGGGTGTTGTCGAGATGTGACACAGTAATATCTGCTGGTACTGTGGATGTCAGTGTTTTGGTCAATGGTGGTACTGGACAGTGATGCAACAGGCTTCCTAACCTGATTCTGGCTATAGTGCAGTGTGTGGCTGTTGGTAGGTAACTCCTGCATGCTGCTGTAGCAACTACTTATGTTCTGAGGCTTAGAGGACATCCTGGACGGTGCATGGAAAGTGCTTTCATCACTGTACTGCCGTTGATGGTATGGCAAGTGGGCGTAGGATGAATGGCCTGCTCTGACATCGGTGGTGGACAGCGAGTATGTCTTGTTTGAGTTTAGATGATGAGCTTCTTGATTATAGCTCTCAGCTGCTATGTATGAATTAACTGTTTCGCCTTTGGTTGGAGGGTTGTAGTTTTGACAACTTTCAAGGGCTGATTCGCTGGCTTGGTAAATCCTTTGAGTACAGTCAGAGACCTCTGATACTCTGTCTACTCCTTTCACATGAATCTTTGACTGAACATGAACACCAGGGCCCTCAGGGTAGCTAGGAACCAGACCCTTTTCATGAACCTTGGTAGCAGCAAAACTATCCCTGCGTGTTGGTGGTGTAGGCGGTGGAGGTGAAGGGGCCATAGTCTTCTTCATGTCTGGAATATGCCAAACAGGTCCGCTGCTTGCCTTTCCAGAACCAGAATGGCGGTAGCCTGGCTGCTCCACTGTTTTAGGACTTTCTCTGTCATTGGTCCCGGAAGGAAGCTGTAGGTATCCAATCCTATCATCCTGCTGCACCCCCTCATTTAGGTTTTGACTGTGCCTGCCGTTGCTAGGCCTGCTTCCTGAGTCCCACTGGCTTATTTTATACAACATATTCTCAGTTGAAGCTGCGTTGCTTTTGGACAGCGTATAATCTGGGGTCCCTGAGCTAGTTGAAAAGGAACTATAAGCAGAGTCTCGTTTTCCACCTCCTAAATGTTCAATGCTGTTGGCATTAGACTTGCTTGGAGAGAGGCGGCCAGGTGGATAGGGGTGAGAGCCATGCTCTAAGCTGTCCATACTGCCCAAGGAACTGAACTGATCTGACACTCTGCGCAGATTTGTCTGGTCCCAGCCAGTGGTGAGGTCAGAGGATAATGAACTGAGAAAACATTCATATATTTTAGATTTCATTAACAGAATAAACAAGGAACAAAAATGACAAAACGTTCTTTTCAGAATGATATAATAATATGTTTAAACAGGGTTTTCTACCTTGCATCGTATCTTGTTTGCCAGACTGGTGAGGGCGTGGGCTGTGTTTTTCCAGTTTCTGATTGGCTCTCGTTGAATTTGGTGGAGTGCCAGGAGTGAGGCCTACTCATCGATTCGTTTCTCCTGAAAGAAAGGGAAGAGGGAGGTAAAGGAAGAAGAGGAGAGAGAGAGAGAAAAGGGGACAGAAAGAGAAAGAGAGCAAGAAAGAGATCAGAGTGGAAAAGTGAACAGAGAACAAAGCATCATGCCTCTGTACAACTGCTACAACTAACAGCCACATTCAACTCTACTTTCATAATCACAACAGTTACAGTACACATAACTATGGCACCCTTATTATACTCAAGGGGAAAAACAAAGTCTGCGTCTCTCTCCATACACTTTCTTTTGAATGTCAACCTCTTAAAAAAGTACATTCAACTAAGCTACCAATTGCTACTTTTGTATTTCACAAATGCTAAAATGTAGTTTCACTGTAATACATGAATTTGTATGCCACTGAAACATACCCTTTGAAGCGGTTCTTTCTGCAAAGCATGCAGGGCAGAAGTCAGAGATACATGACTGTGGCACAAACTATCAACAAATACATCATTCTTCACCAAGATAACCAGCATATTTTCTTGTCTGAACATTCCAAATGTAAACTCCCAAAAATGCAATAAACTAGGGCTGCATGAAATGGACAAAATAACATATAGTGTCTGCAAGATGTCTTGCAATGTAGTAAACATTGAGGAATCCTTGACATTACAGGGCTAAAGATGAGAATGCTCATATGTTGTGATTTGATCATATTGCAGACATCACAATAATAGGATTGCAAAGGTATTGTAATGCATAGTAACAGTGAATGTTAGTTCAAATCGTAAAAATGTGTCTAAATTAAGAGCTTAGGAAGAACGGCGACAAAGACAACAAAAAATGGCTGAAAAGTGAACAAATGCATTGAACATAAATAGTGAAATAGAGTCATGGTGCAGATGTGACTGGACTGAATGGGATGGTATAGAAAAAAGATGGGTCTGCCAGTGATTACATCCATACCACACCTCATTGAACTTCGCAATATCTTCGTAAGAAAGCTCCGGGCCACATGAACGTCACTCTCTGATGCCATTTTCTGTGCTACAATATCCACCATTTTCATTCTCCTGAAGGGGGTTAGAAGGAGGGGAACAGACTGAATCTCTAACCTCAACAAAGATTGAGGGACAGGGACTCTAGTGCTATTCCTTTAAGTAAGACAAACAAGTCTTTAATAGTAAAATGGCACAGCAGTGAGGATGACCGCATGAACCTAGTGCTATCTACACAAACACAGAAAACAGCAAACAGTACAGGTGTTTAGTGCAGTGCAGGCAAATATTGGCCACAGTCAGAAATCTATGAGCTACATTCTGTAACAGGAAACCTTGTAGCTTCAAAAACTGAAACTTTAGAACAAAAGTCAGAAAAAAAAACAAACAAACAAAAATTCAAAGCAGCCACCGTGTATCTACAGCCAATACAGCAAAAAGGGTAGGCAAGGAGCACTAAACTCAGACTTCAACCATATGGCCTAGAAGGGAAACAGCATGCCCAGGCTTAAGGGCCTGAAAATCTCCTCACAGCACCAGATCAGTCACCCTCTAACTCTTCCCAAGCTGCTGTCTGTCCCCAGACAGAAATCAGGCTCTATGAATTCTCATACATTGGACACGTCACTGGGCAAACTGGCAGGAATCACAGGCAAAGAGAGACATCTTGTGGTGGATAAAAAAAACACTGAAAATCTACATACCAAACAGTAAGATGGCTTTAACATTTGAATGAAAGTAAACCAGTTAAAGAAGTCATTTTATTCAGCCGCTATCAGCGATTTGGGCCAGCAGGAAATGCTATGAGGATGCCTGATTGGGCACTTCTTATGTGTGAAAAAGTATTTTATTTTACTTGATTGCACAGACAGAATACGAAAGATTCTTCACCCACGCTCTCTTACTGCTCACAGCTGGGCTGAGTCGACTTGAAAAAAACGAAAGTTCAGAACAGTAGTCATATGCAATAGTAACTTTAGTCATACTATTTTAGCAGTAGTATCAAATATGATCTGCTCTTATACGTTTGTCTCACGTACTGTCACTATATGAGTGAGCTGCCATTTTGGTGGCCAGAAGAACTGAAATATATTTTGTGAACCATACAGTTTGATGAGAGATCAGTGAGAATTTACTGTGCAAAGCCATCTAAACAAATTTTGTTGAATCAGTTGAAACTGATCAACACAACTGCCACACATAACCTTCCTAAAGGTCCACTTCCCTAAATCATCTACCAAACGTTAGGAAACTAACGTAACACCTGTTTTATTTAGAGATATTTATAGATATTATTTACATATATTTTTACATATTAATCAAAATCAATTGCATTTAATTTTTTTTTAACAAACTGCTGTTTTTTCAAAACTAAGATTCTCTGTTTTATTTCTCCACCATCACTCTCCCATCGAAACAGCTGAAGATGATTATTAACAGGGATGCACCAATAGCATTTTCTGAGGCCAGGTAAGTTTCATAGTTTTGATCCTCATCTGTCTCTTTTAACAACTGTGTAGTCTTTGTAGCACTGTGACAGCAGGAATCACATCCAAGGCTAATCCCAGGAGCTCAGGTTTCAAGTTATACATCTTTTGTTTGGCCCGATCCACTGACGTCAGACATACACTGAGCAATTTTAGAAATCTTGTTCTATGGTGACTCTGTACATTTGAATAGACCATCATGTTCGGACAAAGCCAAAAAACACTCATGCAATGTGTAACGTGCACCCGAGTACTGAGCAAAACGAAACTGAAGCTGAGAACCTGAGCTACAGCAGCGCTGCTAACTTGTGCCACACTGTGCACTGAAAATATACCAGGAGGTGATGTATACAGTAGGACATTACAGTCTCTACAGCCTTACAAAGATAATTAAAAAAAAAAAAAATCAACATAATGTTTATACCTCTGAATTCTGTTCAGTTAAACAGAGCAAAGTCAGCATATATGAACTTTGGTACTGCAACTGTTGACTTTTTCCACTCCTATGTGTTTCCACCTGTACTGGGGAAGTGGTTGTGACTGTGTGTGTTTAAAAACAGGCCAAAATCGCACAGTGATGTTTTCGCAATGTTTTAAGTGACTAATGACTTTGTGTCCAACTGCCATGGAGTCAGAAACAGTTTCTGAGAGAGCAAACCCTCGTTCAGTGCCAGCTTGAGTGGTTTGTTCATTAGCATCGCAGGATATATGTTTAGGATATATGCTCAGCATTGGGCCGATACCAGATACCAGTTTCGGTATTGATGCATCTTTAGTCATTAATACAGCCGCTACAAGACAAAAAATGTCATGTGCCAAACAGATAAATACTTGTTTTTCTTGATAGTTGTCAAATTAATACTGTAGCTGAAATAAACAGTCCAATTATTTATATACCCATGTGCTACACTGTACCATACAAGGCCTGTCATGCCTCAGCATGGTGTCAAAATCAACAAAATCTGTAAACAACTAGGAAATAACTTTTTTTTTTTTTTAAGCAGTTGCATATGTTGCAGATACTCCAATATCAAAATTATATGGAATGCACATCAGGCCTGGGCGATATCTAAAAATAATCAGTATGATATTATGCAGTTAAAAAATTGCAATTAACAATTATATGACACTAGTTCTCCTCTGTTTCCCAACATGAAGTTTATCGCCTTTAAAGCATCATCGGGTTACTTATCAGTCATCTACAATATCCGGTTACATCACCCTATCTGATCAGCATAATGCACCCATAATGTTGATATGTTTGTGTTCCGTGTATCCGAGCACTGAACATTATTAAACTATTTTTTTTTTTTTAAATAATGTGGTAGCCACAAGCTAATCTGTGATTATGGGGGGTATAATTTTTCTCCCTGCTCTCAATTTTAAGGTCATGAGGAATTAAAGAGCCGATATTTTCAGAGGGAAGGTCTGCCCTCATTAAAAGCTTGCTAGTTTATTTAATAATACTTCATGCAATATAATCAGTAATAAACTGAGTACTTTATTTTCTCCAGTCTGTTGAATGTATTGTTCAATACTTGTGCGTATTTAAGTGCCCATCACATTCTTAGTGTATATATTCCTAATATCAGTATAATTTTAGCCTTTATTGCCTGTATAAATGAACAGCTTTTTGAAATATAGCCATCTTCAAATGATAGCAAGACTGAGCCAATTTGTTAATGAGCCATAGAAAACTTTCACAGTTCATGAAAATATACATTACAGCAATATCACAAAAGGTCGAAGAACATAGGCAATACCACTTCGGCTCAATATTTCCACTTGTTTTCGTTGCAACCACTGAATATCTTCCTTGACATGGAAAAAGCATCACATTAGAAAAAGGTATCACATAAGACATGATGGTCACATGAAAAAGCTTGACCTTCAAGTAAAAATTATCTAATAGGAAAAATGACAAAGTGTTAAGCTGTGCCCACAAGCTTTAGTGAGTTTCAGCCACTGCACAAGACGCTCCTGCGCAAGTTACGATACCGTTCAACACTATCCCACTTACACTTGACATTTAAGTTTTTATCTCATTACAAACCACTCTCAACCAAATACCCCACTTTGTAACTTTATCTTTTTAAGCTATGTAAAACACAACTGTTTCAAAGGAAACCATGTTGTTAGCTTCAAAAATCTTCAGTCTAAACTTGATCATTTCATTTTTGGTTGATAAAATCAGAAGCAGATGACACTGACAAGAAAACAGAACAGATTTAATGACAAATTAAGGAAAGAGAGGCCCAAAAGAGGTTGTTTCCCTGCTGTTCTCTTTCACTGTGTAAATGCTTCAAGTGTTTCTGCGCTAGCCACACATGGCGCTTTTCATTCAGATGCTAATGCAAGTCCCTTTATTAGACGTATTGTCAGGGCTACAGCTGGTTCAGCACAGATATGCCAGTGGACTGGATCAGTAGAGCCCAGGCAGAATGGAGGCCAAGGAGGGGGGCTAGGAAGGGAAAGTCCCCTTCCACTGTTTTCACAAAGAGGCACGTTCAAAAACAAACAAATCGCTGCTGAAAAGGCATCAGCCAATCCAACTCCT